AAGGAAGGAAGGAAGGAAGGAAGGAAGGAAGGAAGGAAGGAAGGAAGGAAGGGAGGGAGGAAAAGAGAAAGAAAGAGAAATCACCTGTAATCCCACAACCCCAAGATAGCTATTTTCCACAGTTTAGAATGTGTTTTTCTAGACTTTGTGTGTGTGTTTGGTGGGAAAGTTATTTTTATTTTTTCCTTCACGAATAACTTTTTTTGAAAAAACACAGGAAAAAATCAATTCCAGCAATTGCTTTGCTTTTATTTTTATTTTTTTCATTTTTTATAGTTTTTTTTTAATCAAAACTCAGTAAATGATCTACCTGGTTTGTATCTGTTGCTGATAGCAGAGGACCTTGGGGGTAATTGTGCTCGGCTATTCAAATGCCCTGGGGCAGATCCCCTTTCTGTAAGCCCTGTGGCTCTAGCCCGTAGTTCCAGGTGGTCCCAGAGCAGCCAGCCCGACCCCTACCTCACCCTTTACCCTCTTGCCAGGCCCTGCCCTCAGGGGCAGCTAAACAGGAGCAAGGGATCAGGCTGTGGGTAGGCACAGGAATGAGCCCCAAAGAGGCACCCCCTCTGGGTGAGGCCTCCCTGGTCTGGAGGAGCATAGTGCCCCTGGCAACTGCTAAGTGCCTGTGATTCACCCTGTCCTCCTAACAGCCACCATGTCAGTGACTTTCTGATTATTTTATTTTATTTTATTTGAGATGGAGTCTCACTCTGTTGCCCAGGCTGGAGTGCAGTGGCACGGTCTCGGTTTACTGCAGCCTCCACCACCTGAATTCAAGAGATTCTCTGGCCTCAGCCTCCCAAGTAGCTGGGATTACAGTTGTCCACCACCACACCCAGCTAATTTTTGTAATTTTAGTAGAGACGGGATTTCACCATGTTGGCCAGGCTGGTCTCAAACTCCTGATCTCAAGTGATCTGCTCGTCTCAGCCTTCCAAAGTGCTGGGATTACAGGTGTGAGCCACCACACCCGGCAACTTCCAGGTCATTTTAAAATTAGTTGAAAAGTCGCCTTCTTTGGAGTTGGAAGTCAAGGACCTCACCGCTCCTCTGGGGGCTGCCAGCTGCCTTCTTTCTGGAGGGAATGGGACCCATCGCCTGTGGGAAACGAGACCCATAGGCAAGTAGGATGGAGGTTGAAAATCCCACCCTGGTTGGTGAGCGGGCGGCATCTGGCCTGAGTGTGGCTGGGCCAAGCGGTGGCCTTCCTGCCTCCAAGTCAGATAGCTACTGGGATTGGGAGTGATTTGGGCGGGTGGGAGGGTGCCTGAAGGTCTTCAGGATTACAGGTAAGTGGAATCGGGAGAGCAGATGAGGCAGGATGTCCCAGACTGGGACAGATTCAGACATCAGGGAGCAGGGTTAGGATTCAGACCTGTTCCCAAGCGCTTGTGCCTGGGTGGCTAACTCCAAGTCCTAGTGAGGACGCATACACCTCTTTCCCTGATCTGTGATCCAGGGCTGTCCATTTGGGCTCTCTCTCTCTCTCTCTCTCTTTCCAAGTGTGTTTTTTGTGTGTATATGCATTGTACACATGTATAAGCCTGTGCCTGGGGGTATATGTGTGTGTTTGTGTGTGTATCTTAAGTTAGTAAATTTATAGAGAGTTTAGCAAAACGGTGTCCTAAATTCTTTTCGATAAATTCCCTTGTTTCTACAAAGCCCCATGTTAAGCAATGTCTTTCAAACATTGTTGAACCAGAACTATCTGAGCAGCAGCAGCCGGGCCTTCTATAAAGTAACATGAGTAAGTTCAAAAACCAAAGTGAACAGAATAGCAAAAATAATTTGACACGATACAAGATCTATGAACTCGATTCAGTTAAACCAGTCGTGAAAAGTGTCAGACTGTCAAAAAATGTACAGCTAATAGATGACAAGCCATTAAGAGCGTGGAAAAGGAATATGAAAATACCAAAGAAAGTCAAAGTCGAATGCCTCATGTGTGATTCCAGAAAAGGATTCTCGGCTGGAGGGTATCTGAAGAATGCGTGTTTGAGTGAGCATGTGAGATTTGGGAATTTAAGACGCATCAATGCTAAAACCAAGACAGACATGTTATTTTATGCACCGCTAAGAAGCTGAACCACAGACTATGTTACATCATTGATTATAGACATATGTGGCTCCAGAGATGTGAAATCTGAAAGGTGAACATCTTAGACTTGATGACATATGCCGTGTACTAGGAACAGAGCAATTTAAAGCAGTCCCTGTGGACTCGGCGAGGCCACCGCGTGTGCCTGGCCTGCTCCCAGAGGCCAGGGAGGCGGGGTCTGGCAAACCAAGGCTGCTGGCTGCCTGGGTTGCCGGGAAGGGAGAGAATGCAGGGTAGAAGCCAAGCCTCACGGGTGGTGGACTGGTAGCAAGCCGAAAATGGCCGCTAATAAGTGTGCTGGGGAGGGAGCCTTCCTCCACCTCTCCTCCTCCGAGGGGAAAGCACCCAGGGAGAGCACAGTAGGTCTACAGGAAGCAGATCCACAGGGGCAGACCCCACCTGAGGGAAAACCTGCTGTGTGCAGTGGGCCCACAGGAAGCACCCTGTACCCGCAGGGAGCGCATACAGGAGACGGCGAAGGCGGGGCACCAACCAGGCAAAGGCAGGTGTCCCTGGAGAAAATGTCCGGGACGGTGTCCTCATAAGGCTTTGCTCTTGGCCCTAAGCTTTGACAGGGATAACAGAGAACTTACGTTCAAAGCACATTCTAGAACAGGAAGAGAAACGGTCAGAGCCCAAGACAGGGATGAGAGAAGCTACAGAGCCGGCCCAGACAGGGGAGGGGTGGGGAGCTTAGTCTAGACACGTGGGTGGTGAGGAGCATGGTCTAGCCTCAGTGTGTCCAGTGCAGAGAGGAGCAGCCCACCCATGGTTTTGCATTCTGAGCCTGGGTGCAGAAAGGTCCTGCATCAGGATGCGATGGCCAAGGGGACAGGGCAGAGTGGCCGATGGGGGGATGGGTCCGTTTGAAGGGCGACCATGCCTGGGTGTGACCTAACAATCCCCACACAGTCAAAGCCAGGAGGGGCTTCCAGGTGGACAGTGTATTGACATCCACAGGTCAGCAGGAGCAGGGGGGACCTGCAGGGACAGGCCTGGGGGTTCCCACCCACAGCAGGTCAAGTCCATACCCGCCCAGCCGTGCGCCCATAGTCAGGACAGGTCTGCTCACGGCTGTGCCAGCCCCAGACTGTGCAGGGCCTGGCAATTGGAGCAGCAATTAGTGGTTCGATGGATTTGCTGCCTTGGGTCAGGATGACAGACAAGAATTGGAGCCAGGAGGAGGGATGGTCAGGGAGGGCCTTCTATGGGTCTGCGACTGGGGATGCAGAGAAACGGTGGCAAGCAGGGGAGCTGCCCTCACTCACACCCCCCAGCACATCGCCAAAAGTGGCGGTGCCTTTTCAGCAATTGTAAAAGGCAAAACGTGAACAAGGTGTCATGTGTGTTTTTCATGTGCATGGTCCAAAGTCCCGGCAGGAGGCAGATGTCTCATTAAATGGGGGAACTTAGGGAGAATGTAGGGACAGGGCATCGGGATACCAATAAGACGCAGTACAGCCCCCGGAACTCGCAGCAGTTACCACTCTAGGAAGATCACAGGCAAGAAGCAGGTGCTGGACCCCAGAGGGGGCTGCCCAGCAGGCGCTGTGGCCTCGCGTGGAGCTGACCATGGAGACCTTACAGGATGGGGCAGGGCAATAGTTCCCCACCCCCACCCCCCACAACCTTCCTATCATCTGGCTGCGGCTCCCACTGGCCAAACCCAGTGAGAAAGGAGGGGGCAGGGAAGCGAATGAATTGGGGAGCAAATGGAAGATGCTCGGCACGTGAAGGCCACGGTGAAAAGATGCCCAAGGAGACAGAGGGAAAGCAAGTGCCTGCGTCCCCCCATGAGGTGTCCAGGCTCGGATCGGGAGGTTAGCACCAGCCACACTTCTGACCAAGAAGGGGGCTGCTCTTGGTTCCTAACGGCCCAGGCTGCCAGACTTCGTTCCTCATTCCACAGCGGCCGCCTTCCTGAAAAGAGTTGTTAAGTCATTTTGAAACAGAGAAGGAAACCGTGAAGGCCCAAGTCAGCTGGGACACGATCCCCGCAATGGTTACCGGCGGCTCCCCAGTGATGCCCTCGGACATGTGGATTTCTGCCGTGGCAACTCTCCCTTTTCCCTGGACTGAATGTCTCCACCCTTTACAGGTAACTAGAGCACAACACAGGAAGCCTGATTTTGAACAAAACCAAGAGCAGCATCATTGCCTTATTTAAGAAGGCTTGTTAAATTATGACATCTCGGCCGGGCACGGTGGCTCATGCCTGTAATCCCAGCACTTTGGGAGGCCAAGGCGAGTGGATCACGAGGTCAGGAGTTCAAGACCAGCCTGGCCAACATGGTAAAACCCCGTCTCTACTAAAAATACAAAAATTAGCCAGGCGCAGTGGCAGGCGCCTGTAATCCCAGC